AAAAAAAAAAAAAAAAAAAAAAAAAAAAAAAAACAAAAAAAAAACCTAAATGTAAGAGCAAAACTATAAAGTTAATAAAAGAAACTGTAGAAGAATATCTTGTGACCTGGGGGAAGAGAATGATTTATATAAAAGCACAGACCATAAGGAAAACAAAGATTATATCAAAATTATGGATCTTTATTCAACTAAGGTTACTGTTTACAAAGTTAATAACACAAATGCCAGAGCTGGAGAGTCTGTTTCCAACACTTAAGGGATTAATAATTAGACTATGTGAGGAATCCCCGACAATCAACAGGGAGATACATATGAGAATTGGCCCAACAGGAATATGGATGTATTGTATTCTGTATGTTAGTAAATTTGGTCTGTGTTGGGCAAATTCATTCTATGGATAAGAAATTTAGTCTCTGAGGGCAAACTAACCTATTTTTTGTTGATGAGGCGCTCAGAAATGAAAAATCTGTCAAATCCATTTATTGTAAAGGTAGCCCAGACACTGAAGACCAAATTGTGGGCAGTGGGCTCAGACACCACTTGCTTGGGATAAGTCTATTGTGTATTGCGAAAGTCCCTTCTGTGAATCAAGGTCTCAGTTACTTTCGAAGAGAGCAAAAATTGCTCTATGGATTAGGATTTACCTCTGAAGATTTTAGCATTCCTGTTTTGTAAAAGCCATCTCAGGCAGTCTACTGGTGGGAAAATTAAGGGGCTGGTTTCACTGGGGAGTCAGACAAGGATGAGGGCTGAAGTCAGAGATGAGACGGAATGATGCCAGGGAAAAGGGTCCCATGACAGGTGGCTAGATGTTAAGCACAGAGGAGAAAAAGTAAGAAAACCTGAAAACGTAGGGTCGACATGATGGACTGTGAAGGGTAATGACATCAGTGACGGTGGGGGAATACAATGTTGGGCGTTTGAAGGATATGAGGTTAAGGAACTAGAAGATGGGCCGGGCTTGGTGGCTCACGCCTGTAATTCCAACACTTTGGAGGCCGAGGCGAGCGGATCACGAGGTCAAAAGATCGAGACCATCCTGGTCAACATGGTGAAACCTGTCTCTACTAAAAACATCAAAATTAGCTGGGCATGGTTGTGCGCGCCTGTAGTCCCAGCTACAGGCTGAGGCAGGAGAATCGCATGGGGAGGTAGAGGTTGCAATGAGCCGAGATCCCGCCACTGCACTCCGGCCTGGCGACAGACCGAGACTCTGTCTCAAAAAAAAAAAAAAAAAAAAAAAAAAGAATTAGAAGGTGAAGGACGTTGACATCAGAGAATGTCAGGGACCTAGAGGAAAACAGCTGCGATGGAGAGGAAGACATCAGATCCAGCGGGGGAAATGATGGTAAGGACGGAAGGACGATGTCAGGGACGGCAAGTAGTATAAGAGTGAGAAGGTTTCTGTGTGGAAGGGATGAAAGCGCTCAGCCGGTTGTTGGGGGTGGATGCTGACGTTTAGGGTGCACCAGTTTTGCAAAAGTCGACACCATTTCCGGAAACGCACAGAGAGCATTGTCCCCTTCGCTTTGCCGTCCCTTCCTCTCCCCACCACTACGCCCCTTCTGGCCTCAGCCAATCAGCACGCACGCCGGGACGCGCAGGGTGAACGTCCTGTGACGTCCTCGCTACGTACGCTTTATCAGTCGTCTTCCCGCGCAGCTCTGTCTCTGTGTTCTCTGCTCTTCCGACATCTCTCTGTGTTCGGCTTTTTTACGTTTTAATTTCCAGGTAAGCTACGTATGTCCTGCGGAACGGCGGCTCCTAGCCACATATGCGCCGCGCCGCCCAAGACCAGGGGATAGCGAGTAGGGAGAATAAAGGCCGGTGACACGTAGGCTTGGCATTTTCTGGGGCGGGCGGGTGCCGTGCTAGGAGGTGAAACATTGCGGTTGGTGGAAGGCCGGCGCGCCGTATTTGAGTGTGAGGTGTACCGGGAGGGCCTGGTGGCGTCGGGGGTTTCAGTAACCACGCGACAGCCTACACTTGATTTTCTTTTCTCACGTGGCGGCCGCCATCTTGTTCTGCCGGCGTCGAGGGAAGGCAAGGATGCTCTGGGCTTGCGCAGTGGCACAAAATGACGGGTGTGGCGGCTGTGAATGTGTGAGGATGCGCGATGGTGGTTCCCTAATGGTGGCTGCGCTGAGTCAGCCCCGCAGATTACCACTTTATTGGCCTCCTTTCTCAGCCTCTCTAGTTACCCATATTTTGTTCCTCTTTTTTGTCTGTTTTCTATGCTTCTCTTTGCCTTATCTTTCGATATTTTCTCACTTATCCATTTTTTCTTTCTTTCTGCCACGATTCTTCATGTTCTTCCTACAGGACTTGAACTCGCTGCCATGTCCTCTGAAGAAGGAAAGCTTTTCGTAGGGGGGCTCAACTTCAACACCGATGAGCAGGCACTGGAAGACCACTTTAGCACTTTCGGGCCTATCTCTGAGGGTGAGACGGGCCAGATTGACAATGGGGGTTGGTGAGAAAGTCTGGGACTCTTGCATTTCAAAGAATATTCAGCAAAAAGGCAGAACCCCAACTTCCCAAATTCTTTTTCTCCCTAAACTTATGGTGTCGACTAAGGCTGAGGAAAACGTCTTCGGAATTGGTGGGAGGGCTCCGTTTTCCCTACCTACCGCCATTCCCTTTTCAGGCCACCCTTTGCTACTTAACTTTTGTGGTGCTGACTGGTCCACATTGTTCCATTTTCTCTTCCTCACAGTGGTCGTTGTCAAGGACCGGGAGACTCAGCGGTCCAGGGGTTTTGGTTTCATCACCTTCACCAATCCAGAGCATGCTTCAGTTGCCATGAGAGCCATGAATGGAGAGGTGGGGCATCCTATCTGCAGAGGGGCCTTGCCCCCGTCTGCAGCTTCCTTCATTCTGTTTTTCCCCTCTGTCTGCTCGGGGCAGCGTGGCCACCAAGCCCCGCAGTGCCCACTCACAGGAGCATGACTGCCTTCTGTTCTAGGGGGTGGAGGGCAGCGGCATACAGAGCCTGGCCGCCTGGGAGGCGACGACTGGTCCTGCATGAGGCCGAGAAGCCACCTGTGGATGGTTGACCTGCCTTGGGCTTAGGTAGTAGAGTCTGCAGACCTGTGGGCCTGGCCGGGAGAGGACCTCGTGAGTCTTCTGACATGGACTCTGAAGCCTCAAACCAAGAGAGGTGTCTGTCTAGCCCTGATAGTGGGGCAGCTTAGAGGAGTGGGGAGGAGAACTCAGCCTGAGTTCAGTCAAGATGTAAGTAGTAGCAAAGGGAACACGGTGCTTTCAGTTCATTTTATGTGGGATTCTGTAGCTCCTGATGAATCCATTCTGGGGTAAAGGAGCTTATTCTGGAACGTGGCACCCAGAACCTGTTGCCCAGCAGGAATTTTTGGGCTCTTTTGCCCACTTTGCCCATGCCTGCTCTTCCCTCACCACTGCCCTGATGGACTGTCAACCCATCCTCCTTGTGTCTCCCACACGTAGTCCCTGGATGGTCGTCAGATCCGTGTGGATCACGCAGGCAAGTCTGCTCGGGGAACTAGAGGAGGTGCCTTTGGGGCCCATGGGCGTGGTCGCAGCTACTCTAGAGGTGAGTGCAGTGATAAGTTTGATCATGGAGTGAGAGGGAGAATTGCCTATGTGTGGATAACTGCCATTTAAATATTTTTTCTTCTGTAGGTGGTGGGGACCAGGGCTATGGGAGTGGCAGGTATTATGACAGTCGACCTGGAGGGTATGGATATGGATATGGACGTTCCAGTTCCAGAGACTATAATGGCAGGTGGGTAGCCAAGGGGTTGGGATTTTTTGCTATTGCTTTCCTCTCCTTAAAAACTCAGTGCCTGGGTGTTCATACATACCACACCTTGTTGTTACTAATGTGTGCTTAAAATGAGTATGAAGTATTTTGAGTTAATTGTATGGTCATACAGTTGCAAGATGATGAAGTATACTATATGTTAGTTGTGCTGTGTGGGTTAGGTATATAACTGTTGTTTTAACATGGAATATTTAATATACTGCACATAAATTGTATGCTGTAAAACTTTAAGCATATGGGACATGCTTAACGTACCCTGTTTTTGATATCTAAGGTTTATGTTATGGTACATACTGTAAAATGTGACACATACAATTAATGTCAGTGGTGTTTAATGCAGTCCTGGAAATCTTCTGTGTTTTTTTTTTTTCTTTCAGAAACCAGGGTGGTTATGACCGCTACTCAGGAGGAAATTATAGAGACAATTATGACAACTGAAATGAGACATGCACATAATGTAGGTGAGACTTGGATATCAGCATTGAATGAACCTGTTTGTCACACTCTGTCATGACCCTGTCACCTTTTCTGGCAAGACTACTCTGGCAACCTAGCAAACACCATTCCTAGGCCTGCCTTGCTCTCAGGTGCATGTCAGAGCTAGTCTGCTATGGGGTGGGATCTGAAAACCTATAATTCTATAATTCCTATAATTCTTTACTCTTGTGTGTGATGGAGGAAATGAAGGGGTGTCCCTGTTATCCAACCCTGAGCATCTTTATCAGCTCTAGGAGGTGCGCATGTTGTCAGCCTCTTCCTTCATGACATCATAATTCTTCCCCTCTTGCTGTTCTCAGATGCACAAGGAATAATTTTTGATCCAGGATCGTCCTTCCAAATGGCTGTATTTATAAAGGTTTTTGGAGCTACACTGAAACATCTTATTTTACAGTATATCAACCTGTTGTTTTTAAATTGAGCTGTCAAGGTAGCCAAAGACCTTTTAGACACCTCTATCTTTAAAAAAAAAAAAATTTTCTGCCTGTTTAAAGACAAATTACATTTGTAGAGCCTGAGTATTTTTCTTTTTACCAGTTTTTTAGTTTGAGCTCTCAGGATTATTGGATCTAGCAATAACTGGCAAGTTGAGCCAGATTGATTTCAAAAAATTAATATGTATCCAGGGACATTTTAAAAACCTGTACACAGTGTTTATTGTGGTTAGGAAGCAATTTCCAAATGTACCTACAAGAAATGTGCATCAGGCCAGCCTGACCAACATGGTGAAACCCTGTTTCTACTAAAAATACAAAAATTAGCTGGGTGTGGTGGTGCGCGCCTGTAATCCCAGCTACTCAGGGGGCTGAGGCAGGAGAATCACTTGGACCCAGGTGGCAGAGGTTGCAGTGAGCCAAGATCGTGCTACTGCCCTCCAACCTGAAAGAGCGAGACTCCGTCTCAAAAAAAAAAAAAAAAAAAAAGAAAAAAGAAAAAAAAGAAAAAAAAAAAAAAGAAATGTGCATCAAGAGCATGATTATCCAGGGGGTGTTTTCTAATTCAGATCGCTGACCTGATTATATAGAAGAGTGGCTTTAAAATGTTTGCAAATGTCTTTTTTTTTTTTTTAATACTGGAAGAAAAAATATTCTGTTGTGTCTCATATAGTGTTTAGGATGTCCTTCACAGAGCTTATTAAAAAGATGAACCTGAAAATAGACTGCTTTATTCTTACTCAGACCACTTTGCAAATTAAAAATGGGGGCAGAGGTGGGCAGATCACCTGAGGTCAGGAGTTCAAGACCAGCCTGGACAACATGTCTCTACTAAAAATACAAAAGTTGGCTGAGTGTGGTGGTGGGCATGGGTAACCCCAGCTACTTGGGAGGCTGAGGCAGGAGAAGCGCTTGAATCCAGGAGGTGGAGGTTGCAGTGAGCTGAGATCACACTCCTGCCTGGGTGACAGCAAGACGACTCCTCAAAAAAAAACCAAAAATACGGGCACATCAGTGGGAGGGAGGCTTGGAGAATACTTGGTTGGTGTGTGGGCAGGGACTGCCAGAGGGTTAGGTGTGTTGGGTATAGGTGATATGGCTAGAATTGGGTTTCCTAAGCTGGTGTCTTAGTCCCATTCTAATCATTGTTTGGGCCTGAATCTCCCTAGCTTCTCTAAGCATTAGATGGGCACCCTCACAGGATTGTTCTGAGAATGTAAGCACCTAATCTCATGGCGTGAGCTAAATTATATCATAGATAGTGGTACCAGTTCATTCCTTCCCCTGAAATGATGGGGCTTGGGGACAGGTGCACTGAACTCATCTTTGTGTATGAGGGCCACAAGAGAGGCCTGGTTTGAGAACAATGCTAAGAGATCAGATGCCAAGATTTATGTTGGGGCTGTAATACTTCCCAGCTGTTTGACCTTGGGTGAGTCATTTAACTTCAGCCTCATGCCATTTTACATTTTCTGTGAGGGGTTAGGTTAATCGGTATATAAAGCCACTGAGAAGAGTTGGCAAAACTCTCAGTCATGGGGATTTGATCTTGGTGTGTGTGTGTGTGTCTTGAGGGGTAAGGTGGTGGTGATTTTGTAACTCCAGCTGGTCTTTTAGTTCCTCGGCTCTCCCTTTAGTCACGGTTCTTTCTAGTGGCTATACTGGGGTCCCATGGATATTATCCCTCCATTGGTTCTGGTTTGGAAGATAGAAATCTCGTGTTCATGGCTTTCACCTGGTTAATATTGAGACAAGTTACCACCAAGTTGCAAACTCCAGGACATTATTGTCCTTAGCTGCCTGTCCCACCCTCATGTGTTGTGGAGCCCTGTGTTACGAGTTCCAGTCCTGGAGGCCTGCTTCCTGAGTCTCCCAGCTAGTTGTGACAGGCCTCAATATCCCTTGCTCTAACCCAAACAGTCATGAATCTGCTTTGGCAGGTGGATGGAGACTTGGGAACTTCGACTTCACCCACTGAGCCAGGCCCAGGTTATGGGGCATTGTGGCTAACCCCACTAGGTGGGTACTTGGTCTGAGGAGGCATCCTATTCTGGGCCTTTGGGAAGCTAAGACGGTGGGAGTTGGCAGGAGGACTGCCATGAATGCCTCATAGGTCGGGGGATTGGAGGGGGTCCTCTGCTCCCTGCCTCTCAGGATGACAATGTACCTCTTACTTACCCCAATGTCAGCTGAGGTAAGATCCATAGTAATATTCCTGCAACAAAATGACTCCCTAAGTGGAATCAATAAAGACTAAAAATGGCCTTGTAGGCCTGTTGTATAACAGCTTGTCAACCTGTTCTGCTCTGCTGTGTTTATAATGTGCTTTGTGATCATCCAGCCCAGGGAGTCCCCGTCTTTTGTTATCTGCTCTAAGGAAAAGAGCCCACAGTTTTCTGTAGTGCCATAGTCCCTAATAAATTTCCAGATTTGAGGTCAACCCCCCCACCCCGGAAAGTGCTTGTTGGTCTCCCACTTTGGTTTGTCTTCAGCATTCAGCTAATGCACATGTTTGTCAAGAACCCACTGAGACTAGAAACCCACCCCCCCAACCACTTAAGGTACCTTGAGAACATGTATCCCAAGACCTGCAAAGACCAAACGCATGGCCTGTGAGTACTTCAAGCCCTGGATCTTGTCTACCAAAAATCTTTCTAAACCATTCATCAAATCTCTTAGATTGGCTTTTGGATTTCATTTAGGCTTTCAAGTCCTAAGCCCCACTCTTCTTACCCCACATAGGCAGAGATCACTTTTTAGATCCTTGCATTCTAGTTTAATTTCTTCTCTGCCGCAATTTCAACATCCATAAAATGGAAATAATACCCATCTCACACCGGTTAGGAGGATTTTTTTTTTTTTTTTTTTTTGAGACGCAGTTTTGTTCTTTTTGCCCAGGCTGGAATGCCTTGGCGTGATCTTGGCTCACCACAACCTCTGCCTCCCAGGTTCAAGTGATTGTCCTGCCTCAGCCTCCCAAGAGGCTGGGATTACAGGCATGTGCCACCACACTTGGCTAATGTATTTTTAGTAGAGATGGGGTTTCTCCATGTTGGTCAGGCTGGTCTTGAACTCCAGACCTCAGGTGATCTGCCCACCTTGGCCTCCCAAAGTGCTGGGATTACAGGCGGGAACAACCACGCTTAGCCATTTTTGTGTGTATTTTGTTTTTATTTTTAGAGACAGGGTGTCTGTCTTCCAGGCTGGAGTGCAGTGGTGTGATTTCAGCTCACTTAAACCTCCGCCTTCTGGGTTCAAGCAATTCTCACTCCTCATCCTCCCAAGTAGATGGGTTTACAGACGCCTGCCACCATGCCCAGCTAATTTTTATATTAGAGATGGGGTTTCACCATGTTGGCCAGGCTGGTCCCAAATTCCTGATCTCAGGTGATCCACCTGCCTTGGCCCCCCAAAGTGCTGGGATTACAGGTGTCAGCCACTATGCCTGGCCTAGGGGTTAGGAGTATTAAATATAAAATGTTTAGAATGGGACCAAGTCCATTACACAGCTCCACACCCTTCCATATTCTGGATTGGGGGGTCGTGGGGGGTGGAGGTGTAGAACTTGTAAAAAGCCTTTTAAAATAAGTTGTGAATACTTCAGGTATATATTTTTAAAAAGCATATTGGATGACAGCCAGTGTTCTACCATTCTTACCTGCTTGTCAAGACAAAACCTGCCCAACTGCATTCCAAGTGTTTTCAAATTTGGTGGTAAGACCTGACCTGAGGTTGCTTACAACCTTTACTCAGTGGGAATATGCATACAGTTTACTACAGGAATATTTGTGTTTGTTTAGAGTAGCTGCCATGGATCTGTGGGGGATGGGTCTTTTCTAAATTGTTAAAAGCAGTTCATCCCATTATTAATAAACATTTCTAATATGCTGTGAAAGAGTCTATTCTTTAAATAGATATATCCATTTACTCATTGTTCCCATGAAAAAGCCTTGTATGCAAACCTCCAAGTACTCAAGGAACAAGGCAGACAAAAATTGTTGCTAAAGGGTGCTTTACTGGGGGGACATAGAAGCAAAACATGAGGCTGGGTATGGTGGCTCACACCTATAATCCCAGCACTTTTGAGGGGCCAAGGTGAGTGGATCCCCTGAGGTCAGGAGTTTGAGGCCAGCATGGTGAAACCCTGTCTCTACTAAAAATATAATCAATCGAATGTAGTGGTGTATGCCTGTACTCGTAGCTACTTGGGAGGCTGAGGCATGAGAATGGCTTGAACCCGGTAGGTGGAGGTTGCAGTGTGCCCAGATCAAGTCACAGCACTCCAGCCTGGGTGACAGAGCAAAACTGTCTCAAAGATAAGCATGGCCTTCGGTGGCAGCAAGATAAATCTCCATGCTGTCGCTCTCTAACCCAGTGCTTACATACCGTAGGGAAAGAGTGCTCCAGCAAGATGAAGGCAACTACAGAAGAGGCAAGAATGCTATATGCATCATCATCTAATTTGTGCAATTATGTAAAAGTTGACAAGCTTTTAAACTAGGGATGACAAAGGAGGAATCGGAGGCATTTACAGGACTGGTGCTAATCAGAAGTAAACATGGTGGATTGGCATCCAAGATGGAGTAAATTTTGTTTCCACATTCTTGCTGAAGACTGGAAAATCATCATGTGAGTCTGTCTTGTAAAAGGTAATCGAGCATACCCTACTTAACCATTTGGGGCCGGGTGCAGTGGCCCACACCTGTAATCCCAGCACTTTGGGAGGCCGAGGCAGGTGGATCACCTGAGGTCAGAAGTTCAAGACCAGCCTGGGCAACATGGTGAAACCCCATCTCTACAAAAAATACATAGATACGCATGATGACAGGCACCTGTAACCCTAGCTACTCAGTAGGCTGAGGTGGGATAATTGCTTGAACCCGGGAGGCAGAGGTTGCAGTGAGCCGGGATCAGGCCATTGCACTCCAGTCTGGGTGACAGAGCGAGACTCCGCCTCAAAAAAAAAAAAAAAAAAATTACACCATTTGATAAAGAAGAAAGCGGAGTCCTAGTGGGGGGAGTTCAGTGTCAGCCTGCATTGAAATCATCCAGAGTTCATGGGACTTGGTTGCCTTGTGTGCTAGCTTGGTATCCAAAGTGCACAGTGCATGAAACATGAAGAATTTGCAACTTAATGTCGGTTTATATGTTGATATCCTAAGTTTGTCTACAATGAGGCTTAACTCATACAAAAACCTTTACTTAGGGAATGTGCCTGCTTGAGAAAGCAACTTCACCTACGCATCACCCAGCTATTTTCCTTGCTAATTATTGTAGATAACATGAAAACATTTTTTAGAGTTTACCCATATTCTTCAAATGATCCCACACAAAACTGCTTAGAAAGAATGTGTTAAACTATACTGATGATTTTTTTTTAAGCCAGTCAAATTTAGTGGGGGGTTGTATACCAACTTTAATGACACTAATGTTAATAAGTTCTGATAACCCATTACCATCGGACCTGCCTATTGATGACTTAAAAACAAGCACAACAACGTAAAGATAGAATCTTTCTCTATTTCGGGAGAAATGATTTACTGTGAATTTAATCTTTTAACGTCCTTGGTGTCAATTGTGGGTGAACAGGAGGCTGCTTCCTGTCTCGTTCAATGATCCTCACCCTGATCTTATTCAGACGGCGTCTTTCCCATGTACAGCACCATAGTCTCTACAGTGGGAGCCTTAAAAGGGCCCCCTTGGCCGGGTGCGGTGGCTCACACCTGTAATCCCAGCACTTTGGGAGACCAAAGTGGGCAGATCACAAGGTCAGGAGTTTGAGACCAGCCTGACTAACATGGTGAAACCTCGTCTCTACTAAAAATGTAAAAATTAGCCAGGCATGATGGTGTGCACCTGTAGTCCCAGCTACTCAGGAGGCTGAGGCAGGAGAATCACTTGAACCAGAGAGGCAGAGGTTGCAGTGAGCTGAGATCGCACCACTGCACTCCAGCCTGGGCAACAGAGTGAGACTCTGTCTCAAAAAAATAAGTGGGGGGGGGTGGGCCTTGTTTCCCTGTGTTCTGACTTCTGCAGTGTCCTTGTCCACTTTCTCATAGCAGTGGCCCCAAAGGACATGTTTCTGTTTCAGGTGATCACATTCAGGACAGATGTCTATATTGTTATTATTATTATTGAGAAACAGCTCACTGTCTCCCAGGCTGGAGCGAAGTGGTGCGATCTTGGCTCACTGCAACCTCTGCCACCCAGGTTCAAGCAATTCTCCTGCCTCAGCCTCCTGAGTAGCTGGGATTACAGTCATGCACCATTATGCCCAGCTAATTTTTTTTGGATTAGGGTTCACCATGTTGGTCAGGCTGGTCTTGAGCTCCTGCCCTCAAGTGATCCACCTGCTTCGGCCTCCCGCAGTACAAGGATTACAGGCGTGAGCCATGGTACCCAGCCTTCGTTTTTTGTTTTGTTTTGTTTTGTTTTTTCCTGAAGTCTCTCTCTGTCACACCTAGGCTGGAGTGCAATGGCATGATCTCAGCTCACTGCAAACTCCGCTTCCTGGGTTCAAGCAATTTTCCTGCCTCAGCCTCCCAAGTAGCTGGGATTACAGATGCGTACCACCATGCCCAGCTAATTTTTGTACTTTTAGTACAGACAGGGTTTTGCCACGTTGGCCAGGCTGGTCTTGAACTCCAGGCCTCCAGGTGATCCACCCAAAGTGCTGGGATTACAGGCATGAGTCACTGTGCTCGGCCCTTTCCTCATTTTTATACTGACCATCCTAATAACATTGGGTTGATATCTCGTGGTTTTGATTTGCATTTTCCTGATGATTAGTGATGTTGAGCCCCTTTTTGTTTACCTGGTGGCCATTTGTATGTTTTCTTTGGAGAAATATCTATTCAGGCCTTTGGCTATTTTAATATTAGTTTATTTGGGGGTTTTGCTATTGAGTTATATGAGTTCCTTATATATTTTGGATATTAATCCCTTATAAATGGTCTGAAAATATTTTCTTCCATTTCATAAGTTGCCTTTTCATTTTGTAGATTGTTTTTCCTTTGCTATGCAGAAATTTTTTAGTTTGATGTAGTCGCACTTGTTTATGTTTTCAAAAGGGAGTCTTGCCCAGGCTGGAGTGCAGTGGCGCAATTTTGGCTGACTGCAGCCTCTGCCTCCCGGGTTCAAGTGATTCTCCTGCCTTAGCCTCCTGAGTAGCTGGACTACAGGCATGCACCACCATGCCTGGCTAATTTTTATTAGAGATGGGGTTTCACCATGTTGGCCACGCTGGTCCCAAACTCCTGAGCTCAGGCAATTTGCCCACCTCGGCCTCCCAAAATGCTGGGATTACAGGCATGAGCCACCACACCTGGCTGTTTATTTTTGTTTTTGTTGTCTGTGCTTTTGGTTTCACATCCAAAGAATCATTGAAAAGAACAAACTTGCCGGGCGCGGTGGCTCAAGCCTGTAATCCCAGCACTTTGGGAGGCCGAGGCGGGTGGATCACGAGGTCAAGAGATCGAGACCATCCTGGTCAACATGGTGAAACCCCGTCTCTACTAAAAATACAAAAAATTAGCTGGGCATGGTGGTGCGTGCCTGTAATCCCAGCTACTCAGGAGGCTGAGGCAGGAGAATTGCCTGAACCCAGGAGACGGAGGTTGCGGTGAGCCAAGATCGCGCCATTGCACTCCAGCCTGGGTAACAAGAGTGAAACTCCGTCTCAAAAAAAAAAAAAGAAAAGAACAAACTTGAGGAGCTTTCCCCCTTTGTTTTCTTTTAGGACTTTTATGATTTCAGGTCTTATATTTAAGTCTTTAATCCATTTTTCATTTTTGTATATGGTGTAAGATAAGGATCCATTTTTCCCAGCACCATTTATTGAGAACTGTCTTTCCCCCATTTCATATTCATGGCACCTCTGTTAAAGATTAGTTGATAATGGCCAGGTGCGGTGGCTCACACCTGTAATCCCAGCACTTTGGGAGGCTGAGGCAGGCAGATAACGAGGTCAGGAGTTCAAGACCAGCCTGGCCAACATGGTGAAATCTGTCTCTACTTAAAAAAAAAAAATTAGGCTGGGCGAGGTGGCTCACGCCTGTAATCTCAACACTTTGGAAGGCTGAAGCAGGTGGATCATGAGGTCAGGAGATCGAGACCATCCTGGCTAACATTGTGAAACACTGTCTCTACTAAAAATACAAAAAAGTAGCCAGGTATGGTGGCAAGGGCCTGTAGTCCCAGCTACTCAGGAGGCTGAGGCAGGAGAACCACTTGAACCCAGGAGGCAAAGGTTGCAGTGAGCCGAGATCACACCACTGCACTTCAGCCTGGGTGACAGAACAAGACTCCATCTCTCCCTCTCTCTTTTTTTTTCCCCCCAGGTACACTGATCTTGGAACAAGACTCCATCTCAAAAAAAAAAAAAAAAATATTAGCCGGGCATGATGGCACATGCCTGTAATCCCAGCTACTCAGGAGGCTGTGGCAGGAGAATCACTTGAACCCAAGAGGCGGAGGTCGCATTGAGCCGAGGTCGTGCCACTGCATTCCAGCCTGGGCCACAGAGCAAGACTCCATCTTGGGGTGTGGGGGGGGTGATTAGTTGATGATGTTTTGTTTTTGTTTTTGTTTTTTTTGAGACAGAGTCTAGGTCTGTCACCAGGAGTGCAGTGGTGTGATCTTGGCTCACTGCAACCTCCACCTCCTGAGGGTTCAAGCGATTCTCCTACCTCAGCCTCCTGAGTAGTTTGGATTACAGGCATGAGCCCCCAAGCCCAGCTGATTTTTGGTTTTTTTTTTAGTAGAGATGGCGTTTCACCATGTTGGCCAGAATGGTCTCAACCTCCTGACCTCGTGATCCACCCACATCAGCCTCCCAAAGTGCTGGGATTATAGGTGTGAGGCACCGCGTCTGGCCTCCAGACAGAGTTCCACTCT